TCAAAGCTGAGGGGATAATAAATGGATTCATACCTTTCCCAAAGGTATTTGTGCGAAAGTGAATATAACGATGAATAATCAAGAGTGATCTCCCCTTGTTTTGTTACTGTCCTCTTTGAGAGAGCTATTTCTGTTTACTGGGACTATAAAAGGACACTGTACGCGAACCTTGTATTCCCAGCTGAATAAAGTTTTCTTAAAGCCTACACCTGTGTACTTTTGTCATTACAACGACATGAAACGGAAACCAAACTGAGCTTTTCAATTTATTGTTCCAAGCTTTAAACCATTATAATACCTGCACATGTGGGAAACGATAGCAAGAACCAAAATGCGTGATTCATCCGTGGAGACTTGAGAATGATGGATCTCTGGAAATAAGCCGATTCCCGCCGATTTTGTTTAGCGGCATGTATGGGTTATTTAATTATTACATATTTTTTTTTTTTTTTAGATATATAACTTGTAGACCATAAAATATATTGCTGGTAATTTTACTATAATTTTTTAATGTTGTATTGATTATCATTGTGCTATAAAACTGTTGGCCATTTTCCTATGAAAATGTACTGTTGATGTTTGTTTGAGGGTTCACTATTAGTCCATAGCTGGGAACTTAACAGGTGCTTCCATCCCGGGTTAGGGAAACAACAGCAGTTAAGAGATGCTTCCACGCTTCTCAAAAACCTTCAATCTCCTGATCAGAGGCCTTGCTGCCGAATGTAGTTTATCGTCATACCAAGGACAACTAGAAATAAAATTTCTTCGCCCGTTTTTTCGATACGTCTACCTACGGCTCATCAACCTTTGTACATCAAATTTGCAGCAAAAAAGAATATCACTATCAAAAGTACATATTAAAAAAAATTGTTTATTGGTTAATTTTAAAACTAAGATCAATGTAGTTTTAGAAAGTTCTGAACAGGTGAACTTTTGCAAAAAATATACACATACGATGTTTGTGGTATTTTTTTTTCTTTACTGAGAGTCAAACTTCCGAAGGGATTAGGGAAACATGAATTAAAAGTAACTTTAAAGTATGCTACTCTACCAAAGACGCCTATGTTAGTTAGCAAGCTCGTCTCGCAGTACATATTCGCAAGTATATTCACGGTGAGTGCTCCACTACTGTAGCTTTGGGCTAAACAAATCTAAGCTTAATATCTGGTGTTGGTGAGAAAAAAAAGAACCTTTTTAAAAGTAAGGACACCAAAGTTATAATGCTCATACAAACTCCATATAATCAATTTGAGCTTCATAAACGTGACACTTTGTCAGACGTAGTTTATGTCAAGTAAATCTGTTCAAAATTGTGCAAGACATTTCTTAGATGTTTTAGCAGTTCACATTTAAATCCGTTTTGAAGTAAGGTACAGCAAGCTATATCTCGGTTGTGGGTAAGTTGTAATTGTGACCAGTATATTGCCGTATTTGTAAAATATGACATCAAAATAAGGCAAATTTTAATAAAGATGTAGGCGGTGTGTTAAATATTTGATGGGCTTAATATTTGTGGTTTGACGTGCATGTCAAATGTCTTCCCTGATTGATTGACGCAATCACTTCCACGGACAGTACGTTGTTTTTTTTGGTGGGGGGAAATAACTCCATATAAGTAAATGAATTTATATGCTCGATACAATGAACATATATGTAAGTAGAAATTAAGAAAAAAATATTTCCCTTTGCGGATATGCTTTATTTCCATCAAGATAACGGCACTTCGAAAATAGGAAGTAATTTCAAATAACGTTATGAAATTAGTGGGCTGTTTTCTTTTGTACCCACTAAAAACTAATACCATTAGTATTGCATGTATCTTTACTTTGGTCCCGGAATAGTAAATTTATCAGATTTTTGCAGCTTTGTTTGAAAAGGATAATGCTGTTTAAAGTTTGAAAAAACTGTAAGAAATGAACTAGTAATATAGAGACATTTTTAGATGATAACGGACCAAACTTTTCATAACCAGTAGAAATTGATGCGCTCATGTTACTTTAAAGGTTAGGGTTTTCATTGATACGCTAGGGGTTAACGGTTAGAGCAATGTTTCTCAACCTTTTTAAGCAACGACGCACCTAGGAGCAAATAAAAAATATCATTTATATCGCTTAGCAAAATTTTTAAAGGGTATATATTTAAATATTATGAAATAAAACCATAGATTTTTTAAAAAAAATCACGCACAAATATGAACTTAATTTCAATGCTTCTATTCAATTATTTGTGCAGCTTATTTAATGTGGAACATGTGCCTAGTGTTTTTTTTTTTTTTCGCGATTTCTTCAATGTTTGGTCGAATGCACAATAAGCAGACCCTCATTTCTTCTTAATAAATATTAAAACAAAGTATTTAAAATAACATAATCGAAGAATAGTGAAAAGAATCATTTGAAAAAAGTTTAGTACTGATTCATTTATTCAAATATGCTGTACTATTAATACTTCCACGCATGCAGATACAGTGGAACCCGGATGTAAGGGAGTTGTCGGGACCGGAGAAGAAGTCTCTTATATCGGGTTTCTCTTATATCCGGGTTTCTCTTATATCCGGGTTTGGTCTATTTTATATACATTAACACAGGCTCTAATGTGGGACCAGAGAAAATCTCTCTTATATCCGGGTTACACTGTATATTTATGCCGTGACAATATTCCGCGGCACACTTTTGTTGCACGACGGTTGAGAATCACTGGGTTAGGATTTTCATGCAAATGGAGCAAATTTTTAATAACCAATAGAAACTTATATTATCCCCTACTAGTTGTTAGGGTTTTCATTTTCGGTCAGTGGTAAAAAAAAAAAATACTAAAATCGTCATATGTGAATACTATTTTAGAAAATTAAACTGGGCACAGTTTCCTCAAAAATATATTCATTTTAGTTTTAAAAATATCCAATAAACAATTTTTTTTTTTAAAAAAAAGATCCCATTTGGATTTTTTTTAAAACTTTTTCGGCTAAGGAAAATGTAACGTAATGATTTATTTTATGCTTCCGTATTTTCTAATTATTGACATTAGTGTTATGAATAATCAATAGTGGCCTCCCTTTGTTTTGTTACTCTCCTCTTTGAGAGAGCTATTTCTGTTTACTTTGACCATAAAAGGACACTATATGCGAACCTTGTATCCTCAGTTGAATAAAGCTTTCTTAAAGCCTACACCCGCGTACTTTTATCATTACAATTAGCTTTCAGTGGGTACAAATTCAAAAAACAAATTGTTAATTTCCTAAGTATTAAAAACTACGTGGCTTTATAATAGCCAAATTTACCGGATTTATGAACATTTGTCTAAAGAATATTGGTCTAAGTGAAACCTGTCAAAGGATATTTGTCTATGGAATACTCACCAAAGACCATTGATCTATAATAATATTTTCTAATAAATTAACACTGTATTCATGTACGAAATACTCAATTTTATTGATATTCCCCATTTTATAGAATAATATGTCAGACACTTTTAGCAAAGTCTCATGGGCCTTTTTTGGTTTAGAAAATGTTTTCAGGTTAGTAACAATCCACATTAGGCCATGATTCTCTAGATGAATATTTCTTAGACGTATATTCTTTAAACGAGTGTTCATTAGACCAATATTTCTTAGACCAGTGTTCCTTAGACAAATCTACCATAATAACGAACATCACGATGCATTCATCAAAAGAATAAACATTAAATTTGTATCTCGCGAAATACCTTGTATTTTTTTTTTTTTTTACGTTATAGTAGATATTTTATGTTTAGTCACTGGTTAACGTAATTTCTGCTTATTTAGTAAAAATAGAAGAAATTGAATTTTCAATTTTTGGACAATAACTTTATTAAACATATTTTGTTATACTAATGTCCACTCAAAGCAAAGCCCAAGAGCCACTCAAGTGTGGTGTTGTTTGAGCGCTCAGTGTGGTCTTGTTTGAGCGTAAAAAACAGGCAAGAAACTAATTTAGTGAAGTGATGTAGGAAAGATAACGGCTAACCTTAGCCTTGAAGAGGTCAAGATTGTAGTTATTAGGAAAACATCCTGCTGGTAGTCTTTTCCACAAAACAGCAGTTCTTTGGAAAAAAAAAAAAATCTATCCGATCTGATTACTTCTTGCTAACGGAATACGAAGGAAATGAAAATGATTCATCGTTTTGTACGTGGCATTGTGGGTCTTAGTTGCAAAAATTAGAGCTCGAGGGACCAAAGATTGTAGCTCATAAAAACACATGCCTTGAAAATAGCGAAAGAGTAGCGGGAGGTTAGCTATGTTTCGACTGTGGGGAAAGGGGTTGTAGGGTGGAAAGCAATTCATCACCCAAAAAGCAGGGTAGACGCTTTTGAATTCTATCAAGATATGCAAAACAGGAATGAGCAGCTCCAACCCAGATATAGCAGCAATACTCCATTTGGGGTCTAATCTGGATCTTGTAAAGATCCAGATCAGACGCCAAATCCAAAGTATAGCAAAGTGAATCAGATACTTACTGGAGCGGTACAATGAAGCGACCATTTTTATGAGTTCCATTTGAAGTCTGGGATGAGGTTGAGTCCAGTAGTAGATTCAAGGCTAGAAGACTTCTTGGGAGAACAACCATCCATCATGGTAGGTGAAAATTCTTTCAGGCATCTTCTTAATTCCATCCTTCATTCTGTAAAAACGGGTATGAATTATAATTCGAATGTGCTATAACTCGTGACTACGACGCATGAATAAAAACTTGCCTGGCAAACTGTAGTAACAATTTTCAACAAGTTACCAAAGAAACATGCAATTTCGCATTATCCAGATAGAATATTATGCTCTTTCTCTTAACTAATTCCGGATGCTTTTTTGTCAATTACTGCCTTCATTTGGTCTAATTGGGAACATTACTTGTTCGAATCAGTAGTTTGGGTTCCCGGATGAAGCTCATAGTATAAGATCCAATCCTACCATATACACAGCAGCATCTTTTTGATTTAGTCCGGTCAGTGATAGTTCATATTGCTTGACCAACAAAACCGGACATACCGCCATATCATATTGAAACATTGGTTCCCGTACGATCACTGAAGTTAAGCAATATCAAGCCTGGTTGGTACTTAGATGAGTAACCGGGTGGGAATAATAGGTCCTGTAAGCTTGGATATATGGGTGGTTTAATGGATACTATCTTGGAATTGTTAATTGGAGAGCCGAGTTTCAATTCCGGTCAGCTTCGTTATAATCACTTGAGTTCAAATAGACTTGAGAAAGGCATGAATCCACCATTTCCCCACACTAGCTATAGATTAATTATTAAAACTAGTATCACTAAATCATTATTATCTAAAAATAAATTCTTACAGTCTAAAAATATTTTATGGCTTTAAATAACCTACAAAGGGTTGATAAACCGTAGAAAACGAACCAGTCAGCGACACATTAAAATGGGTGACTCACGACTTAAGAATTTTTTCTTTGTTATCAAATCAATTAATGTGTTTGTATTTCCAGAGAACTTTCACTATCTTGAGTTTTCTTACTCTAACAGTGAAAATGTAAAGTGATTTTAATCAGTTCCTTTGTGGTGATGAAGTCAACAGCAATTGTTACCCTGGAACAGATGATATGAAACTTCGCTGATTTGAAGTCACACAAAAATATCTTTGTATATGTATCTCGTATGTTTATGCGGAGGAATTTAAAATTAATATTGGGGGGGGGGCATCCCCCAGGCAGTACCTCTCCTTCGTAAGGTGGCTGGAGTCATTAGCCGGTGTTTGAGGCGTCCTCAAAAAGGGGAAGTACCGAATGGGTTTACAGCAATTTCTGTACGGCCTTTTCTAAATTCTGTACGGCCTTTTCTAAATTCCATATAAATCTCCGACCTTGTGTTACATTCTGTTGCAAAGCGGGCGTGAGGATAATTTTGTTTGTTTTTTTTTAATCATTTCATCCCAAGTAAGGCGATAATGCCACTAGGAGACAGGGGGTTACAGGGAGTGAATAAGTATGAAAAAACTTCAGTGAAGAGAAGTGAGGAAAAGGACAATAAAAGAACGGATTCAGAAAGACGGAAGATGGCGATTGATGTTGCATTTAAATTTTTTGAAGATTGTAAGTGGCAGGGAAGCAAGAAATCAGATGGGTGTTTTACAGGCGAGAAAAGTAACTGTTAGATTAGAACTGACAGTTGCATTTAGATAGTTCGACAGTTAAACGGTGAGACCTAATTGCCAATCTAGTAGTACGCTTAAATTCATGCAGTCGTGGCACTAAGGAAAAATTTTATCAGAACAATTGCCATGCAAATATTTGTAGAAAAGTAGAGGGAAGCTAAAATCCTACAAAAATATCTTGATCCCTAGTGATTAAATTAAAGGCCAAAACCAAGACTAATTTAGGAGTAAATGACGACGTCAGCAGAAGTCAAGATTTTCGTTCAGATGCCATAAAACGCCTTCCTCCTCTTACTGTTTTATCTGCCATAAAAGTTGGTCATGAGCAACACTTTTATTTCCATTGTGGCAGCCAATTCGAGATATAATGCTTTGGCCACCTGTGAGACCTGGAGTCTTTAACAGCGCTTTTCTAGCGGCGAAGGAAGAAGATACCAGGCGTGGGTGGCAGAGATGAGGGATGAAGAAAGAAACAGAGAGGATGACAACATTGTAATGGTTGAAATACGAAGAATAACCGCAGCACAAGTGCGAAAGAGATGCACGCGTGCGTGAGAGGCTTAAATATACAAAGATGTAATAGTCATATGCACTCTTTCGCCTTTTTTCTTTCGCTCTACCTCAGTCTCTCGCACGAACCCGCATCTATTAAGTTACATGTTTATATGTATATCTATAAGTTTCTATTGTGAGCGTACGTACCTACGTACGTACGTATGCATGCATCATGTATTTTAACTGAGTATATCTTATATAATTACATTAAAGGTATACGTGCATATATTATACAATAACGATCGGGCATGAATTTTTTGCAATGATCTGATATATGTATAATGATTTTCTAAACGTAGATTAGATGTGGCAAAAGGCAGACAGTGTAGGGTACCAAGTAAGTAAGGAAGTCAATATTTAATTGTAATTGATCTAGCGAGACAAGCTTGCTAACCATTATACCGTCGAAGTGCCCCTTTGGTTTTCTAAGCGTAGCTTAGAGGTGACACAAGGCCGAAAGTATGAAGCATTCAGTGAGATTCGAACTCATTAATCAGTTGTAATTGATCTATATTAATAATGGTATATAATCATTATTATGCAGGGGTTCCTTGAGATATGAAAACTATTTTAAATGTTCTAAAAATGTTGCTGAGATGTTTCTTTTTAATTCCCGAACACGCCAATTATATCATGGCCATGTTCGTAATTGATATTACTAAGGTTTTTTTTGTTAGTTTCATTTTATGATTTGGGTTTGTCGTATGGATGAACGCTGGAAGTCTCTTGTTTGCACAAAAGACAATAAAAAAAGTTAACTAAATACCTTGTCGGTTATATATGTATGACTGTCTACATATATACTGCTACATAACAGATATATATATATATATATATATATATATATATATATATATATATATATATACTGGATACTTCAACGTGATGTAATGGTTAGCAAGCTTCTCTCGCAAACTGACAATTGATTCTTATTAAAGGATGAAAAATTTTCGCGGATTTTGACGTCATTCTGTATGTTTTTGGCCAAAATCCGTGAATTTGTTTTGCTCATGCTAAGTCTTGAAAAAACACTATATAAAATTCGTTATTTTTTTATCTATAATCTTAAACGAGTTAAAATTATTCAACTTTTTAAAAAAGAAAAATCTCAAGTTGATGTTAAAAATTACCCATAATTATTGTTGATTTATTTAAGATGGAATTATCTATTATGACATGTCTCTACTTTGTATTTAGATAGATTTTATTTATTTTCAATTTTTCTAGTTGAATCTTTTTTTCAGCATTTCACTCCAAGCAAGGCGGGGATACCATTATCGCGCCAAGGTTACAGAAAGTGAAAGTGAAAGAGAAGACTGAGAGTAGCGAGGATTGAGGAAAGTAGAAAAGATGAACGGGATCCAAAAAGACAGAAGATGGCGATTGACACTGCATTTAAACTTTGAAGATTGTAGTTATCAGGGAAGCAAGTAAACAGAAGGGAGATCAACAGGCGGGAAGTGCGAGAAGAGGTGGCTGCATTTAGCTATTTCAACAGTAACAGGGTGGGACCTAAATGCCAATCTAGTAGCACGCTTAAATTCATGTATTCGAGGCACCGGAGTTATCTATGTTGGATATGATTCATTATTATATATAATTAGGTTACAATAACATTTTTTTTTTTATATGAATACTACCTTATAAAAATTAACATGTAGTAAAGTGGGGGACTCCGTATCATAGATTCTGGGGAGGGGCGTATCATAGATTCTGAGGGCATGAAGGCTGACACCATATAGACATCGCTAAATACAGTTCTGATGATTATTATAATTTGAATAATATAAAAGTATGACGCCTTTATTATAATAACCAAGAGTTTTCCAACAATATGGCGTACGTGTATAGTAGAATTGCGAATATACAATTAAGCAAAAATTACTCAAAAACTCATGAGACTAATTTAAAATCGTTTCTCACGGAACCATAGTGTTCCGAGGACACTCCGATTTAGAAACGCTGACATACACTACACTATGTATAAAAAAAAAAAAAGAAATCACTTTCGCACACTAGAAAAACGATGAAAAAGTTAAGAGAAGTAACTTGTCACTCCTTTTTTAATAATAGATGTATTAGAAAGGGATTGCTTGCCAAATACACAATTATATATCAATGTAAATATATTGATACATAAACACGCATATACATAGATTTGTAGAGTGATATAGATATGAGTAAGTAAAACAGTTCTATTTAGTCGTTGAGGTAGTGCATTGTTATGATGTTGATTTGGGGTTAGTAGAGACGCCAAATAACACGTAACAATAAAAAGGGTTTTAATAGGTTGGTAAAAAGGTACAGAAATCGCCTGAGTAGTCAATAACTAGCTCAGCTAAGAACTTCTCTGTCTATCAATCTTCTTTTATTTAAAGTCTTTGTTCACAGACGCAGACAAGTTCATCTTCAAGAGGGGTCGTAGGTTTCCGACACAACATGCATATTTCTCACCTTCGTGTTCTAAATCTGCTAAAAGCTAGAATTTTGAAGGTTGATTTTTAAGACAGGCAGACCCTCCGCACCTGGAAGATTGACGCAACCCAATCTTTTTATCTATCTATATTTCTCAATTTTCCTCACCCATGTAGTATTGTACTGGACTAAACACAAAAAGAGTAAAAGTAATTGGGATATGCATAGTTATCGTTAAAATTCAGTTGATCTGTTTCGAGTATATCTTTTGAAGTTACGTTAATCTCTCTCTTACAGACATATATACCCAAAACGCACTCGTAAGAACTAGAAACACACATACACATTCTTTATCTATCAATAAATATATATAAACAGATATAGATATATAAGTACAAATGAGAAAATTTAAATAGTGATTTTCTAAGCGTAGCTTCGATGTATCACAAAGCCGAAAGTATGAGATCGAACTCACTATTCAGTGATAACTAATCTAGCTAAAGAAGCTTGCTAACCATTACCCCACATTGAGGTAGCCAAGATGTTCAGATTTAAACAGATATGAAACAAATTTCGATAGCTAGATATGAACAGAATTAGATAGATAGATATAAAATGGACGGGTTGATCCCACAATAGCTAATCCCATCGGTCTTTATAAACGATGTTTCCACATCTGCCGAGATCATTGCATAGACTTGTTTGTCTTGATTGTTTTTAAAGACATCCTCCAAAATTCTTTGTCCAATTTATGAGTGGAGTGCCGCTGCCAACTTCGTCTTCTCTCCTCTTCAGTATCCCATTCTTCCTTCCCCAATTCCTCTCATCTCCAATTCCTTTTTCCTTTCAGATTTATGGCCCCGAATGAAACGTCGTTTGCGGCGATAAAGAAAGAAACTGATACCATTCTTGTCCTTTTCTTGTCGAGCCAAGCGTAATCCCCTACCCACGGGCTTTAAGTTCGTCGCTTGTTGGCGGGGAAATACAAAACTTGCCGTTACCCTTTACCATCATAAAAAGAATTCTAACTAAATGAAAAGAAAAGGAAATGAGTTCTATTGTTTGAATGCTCGTTCGTTGTGCTGACCTTGCAAACTAGTTTAGTACGTTGAGAAATCTAGAATTATGACAGGAGTTCAAATTTAATTCAAGCAAATCGAAACTGAGATTATTGTCTTCCCTGCAACTAAAACTCATGCTCTTGCAGCAAAAAATCGTTGTAAAATCTAAGATTACGGCCTATCTAATCGTCACTTTTTAATACCATGTCACTTCAGTATGTAGGCGACCATGGCTCTTGAAAGCTTCTTGTTTATCTGTTAATTGTCATGCCTTCTAGTATGTTTTTACTTAATTTAATTTAATTTTTTTAAACTTATAACAAGACTTAACAGACCCTCGAGTTTTTTCTTTACTTTTGTTGATTGATTTTGTTTAGCGGCATATCAATCTCTATAGGTTATTTAATGCCAAAATCTAAATATTCTGAACAAAATTTTATGATTTCAATTAAATATACTTTGAACTACAGTTTAAAAATGTGGTCATTTACTATAAAATCTATTGTTGGTAATTCTAGTGTAAAATGTATTGCTGGTCATTTTATTATAAATAGGTATTGTTGGTAATTTTTTTATATAACAATGTATTTTTATACTTTCATAGTGTTTTGTTTTTGTTTGGGGTTCAGTATTTGCCCATAGTTGGGACCCTAACAGCTACTATCACCTCGGGTCAGAGTAGACCTGGGCTAACAGCAATTAAGACGTGGTTCTACGTTCATCAAAACATTCAATCGCCCGATCAGATGCCTTGCTGCTTGATGTAGTTTATCGTCATACCTAGGACTATTTTCTTTACTGTAATTCAAACAATACAAGACCCAATAGCCACACAAGGTAGATGGTTACTAAGTGAAGTTGTCGAAAGTAGGTAAGGTTTGACCCTAAATTTGAAGAGATTAAAACCGTAGTAATTGGGGAAGTATCCTCTCGGGAATATGTTCCACAACGTAGAAGAAGAAGCTCTCTGAATAAAACATCCTTCTACGACTGGGATACAAAGAGAATGGTGGTCCTGTGTAGGTGACATGGTGGCTATTAGCTGTAAAGGTCTGAACTAGTGGAACTAAGGAATGTAGCTCGTCAGAATATTTGCCATGGAAACTACTATAGAGAAGCGAGATGCTTGCGATTTTTCCTCTGTGGGAAAAGAGCTGTAAGGCGGAAAATAGTTCATCCAAAGCCACGTAGACGCTTTTGAATTTTGTCAAGGCTAAAAAGTGTGGACTGGTCAGCTCCAGCCTGTATATGGCAGCAATGCTCAATTTTCAAATTAATGATAAAGGGTTACAGTTGAAATGTTAATGATGAATGAGATGTGAGATATCGGTGGGAGAGAAATGGTCGACTCCATGTACCACTCCGGACTGTATCTGACTCTTATAATACCCTATCTTTACAGGAATCGGCTCAGACCAAAAATTCTGCGACACATGGGGGCCAGATCTTTCTGGTCCTCACTTTCCAGTTACGAACAAGTTCAAAAACGTTTACGCAGCGTTGTGGGTGATTAACTGTTTTTCACCCT